AATGATTGAGAAGAATGACTAGCAGAGATATTGACTTCTTAAAGAATGTGTTTATTATTTGGTGGGGAGTTGACAATGAATTACTTAGTTCTTTCAACTTAGATGTTGTAAAAAATACACCATTGCGTTGTGTTGCAAGCTCGATGTACTTGGATTGCCCACGGAGACAAGTGGCATCCTATTTTAATTGGTAATTGACCATGTTAATGTAAATTAAATATGAACTAAAACAATGATAGAACCTTTACAGAAATATACGTTTCTAGAAATTCGGAAGCAGTGCCCATAAGTATTTTGTTTTTCGAAGTGAAGCTTCTTTTCTATATCCATGTCTAAATCTTTCCCGGCCTATCGTGTAAAGGAAATTCAAATAATTAGTTTATAATAATTCATTACCTAATGTATACTATATATACCTTTTGATGTTCTTTATTCATAGTTTCCATGACTTCATCAATTCTTTCCCGAATATCTAAACATAAAATATGAGTTGCAATAAACTTATATCATAGTTGAACACGACTCAACAAACCTTTTAATCTATCATCGAAATCGGCTTTTATAACGTAATGATGATTTTCTGCTGCTTCAAAATCGACAGTTGTTTCTACCATCTCTTTTAACTTTTCGAGTTGTTCGCTATGTTCCTGTGTTACGTGAGTAAGTTACTATTTTTTCGACTAAGAAATCTGGCAATTTATCTCAAATATATACCCTTAATTTAATGAGATATACTTCTTCGATAATACTCTTGAGAGCACTATCTGTAGTATTAAGGGATTCCAGCACATTTATCAATTCTGGTAGTCTTATTATAACTTGGTACACTCGTATAACGTCCTTTTAAGTAACCGATGAGATCGTTTTATAAGTCGATAAAAAATTTGTTTATTATGTAATATAAAGAGAATCAAACCTGTAATGTTGCATTCCCTCTTTGAAATCGTTTCGCAATTCTGTGAAGGTCTGGTATGCTTTTTAGATTATCCTCCTTATTATTTATTTCGATAAAGAAATAATTGAGCGCTCACGTTCAAACAATATAGTTAAATAATAAGTTGAATACATACCCTTAGGGACTGTCTAACTTCAGTGTCATCCACAAACATTTCGACAAGCGAAAGTCTTTGTTCTATAACGTAAATTAGTAAGATAGATAAAAAGATCCCTACAAAATCAATGGTCTACACATACCGATTTCCTTTATATTCATTAGAGGTTGTTTTAGCCATTGACCGAGCAAACGCGACCCCTGAGAAGTTTTACACTTATTTAAGAGACCAAACAAACTAGTCGTCTTATTTGATCCTATAATGAACATTAATTACTTAAGTTTTTATGATTTGATGTAATTGAGTAGTCAAAGGGACTCGGAAAACGTACCATCCTGAGGACTTGGCATCAGGTTTAGCGCCCTTAATGCAGAGGAGTCCAATCTCATATATTGAGACAAATCATGGTTTCGCAAAGTATAATGTCCAAAATTACTTTCGTCTATCATCAACTTAAATTCGCAACAAAATCAGTCAATGAGATTAATTTTAAAGAAGTACTATGCAATTCATATATCTACCGATAAATATTTGATGACACACGCGCACGCGGCCATCGCATTTTTCATTTCGTATTCAGCTGTGATCATCATTTAAATTTAATATCTTTAATTAAAAAATGCTCTTTTTACTATAAAACTCTCACATACGCAGAGAAGCCACAGAAATTTCATCTCCAAGCAAACGATTCAAATCTTGTTCAATATCCTTAATTGAAAATTCGCCTAAAAGTAAATATTTATTATTATTATATGTGATCTTTAATTAAAATTTAGATACAAAAAAACTATTCCAAATATACTTTTTTTTAATTCAGTGATTACTACACCACACCTATCTACAACATCCTTCAATCTTAAAAGGTCATAGTCTTTACGTGATTCATCCGTTTGAACAATACATTCTTTAACTCCAAGTTGAATTAATAATGACTAGTAATTTACGTTTTAAAGTTAACTATAATTGTAATAATTAAAATTATAGAATTTCAGTTGATAATAAAAATACCTCAAAGTTAGTGCACAAATCGTTATCTAAAAACTCGGATACTCCTAATTCCCGAATTGTCGTGTCTGCAAAAGCTACTCCAACAATCTTTTGACCCCCTTGGCTTCCTAATTTGACACTAAGCACTACCGGGGATGCAACAGCGTCTACATTGGAAAACAAAAGATCCTCAAGTTCTTGTATATTTCCCGGAGACGCCTGTAAGGGATTGAGAATCAGTGGGATAAGGTGATGCCGTGCAAACAAGGTGATTTTACCTTTTTTATGATTTTCCAAGCACTATTTTTTCGTGACTCCTGTCCCCATATTTCAATTTTCATTTGGTTGTTTAACAAAGCATCGCGTAAAAATGTTTCTAAATTAAAGCGTGATAATGTGCAACTGGGAATTCTATTCTTGATATCACCTGTTTAATTTGATAGTATTATGATTCTGGCATCAAAAATAAAAGGGCCTTACGAACTAAGCTCAATAATATACATACCACCTAAATATTTTATTACAGATGATGTTTTGTATACATTCTGCGAGATATAAATTGCATCTTCTCCGTGGACGCTATAATATTCCTGCAGTAATTCAAAATCGCATTTATTGTTAATCAATGCAGTTAGATATCATACGGATAAGTAACGCACCCCTGAACTTCTTTCGAATAGCCGAATAGTATTTCCTGGTTTCTGATAACGGCGAAATTTAATGTTAAAAATAATAAACTTCACACAATCCTTTACTTTGGAACGAAAAAGGTCACCTCAGGAAGACTTCTGAAAAAGGAACAAAATCCCTGTTCTCCTTGATTATTATCTGGAACATTAACCACAATAAGGATTATCATAAAAAATTACAGAAAACTTGGAATAACAAATGAACACATTCATTTATGTATACAATAAGGAAGCTACGAACTACACGTCAAATAACTCTTTTCCAAAAGGAAAATAATACAAACCAAAAGTCAGGTCTGGTCTATCTTTCAATGATTTTTCCATGGTATTTTAAATTTCTCGATATTTTTGTTTGGTAAAAATTGAATGAAGTTGACTTAATTTCGCGACGCGTTAGAAGTTCACTTTTATATGTGCAACATAATACCAAAACTACTTATGCATTGCAGAATTACAAATATCACTCTCTTTATAATCACGTTAGCCAGTTTGGTATATTAATTTTATATTATAAATAAAGAAAAAAATTAATGGTTTTTTTTTTAAATAAATATAAAAAATGGTCAAAATTATTATAATACAATTAGATATCACAATTTGATTTTGATTTTGATTTGACTTAAAATATTTGTAAACTTAATAATTTTTAATTATGAATTAGAACCTTTTTTTTTTAATAACTGGTATATACCTTGTTTATTAAATATTATAATAAGTTCTCTTATATATTTTGTAATAAATATCGAATTTTATCTATTTCCTAAACTATCTAAGATAGCAAGCTACCTACTAGTCAGCTTGTTAACCTCTATGCCTCCTATATTATTAATACCAGAATCCTAATAGCATAGGTAAAAAATTAATTTGCTAGGATATATACCTCTAAGTTTCCATTAGTCATCTAATGAACAGAAACTTAGTAAACTATTCAAACAAAATTAACTGCAAACTACTGTAGTTATATCCTATTGGCTCTAACTAGATCTTTAAAATTAAAAATGTAAAAATAGAAATATATATATATATTTATATGTAAATATTTATAATAATCTGCAAAAAAACAAGACCTATGGGTCTATAATATAGTAATAATTATACATATGATGGAATTATATTTTTAATTTCCAAATTAATATGATTTTTAATAATAATATAATATCTATATTTGAATTAAATAAGAAATTATAATTAATAAGAAATCATAATTAATATAAAATTGTAATTAATATAAAATTGTAATTAATAAAAAACTGTAATTGAAATCTTAATTGTAATTATAATTAATTTTTTTTTTTTTTGTCTCTAATCAGATTGCAATCACTATATTTATTAATTTTTATACAAATAAAATAATAATATATTGAATCCTAAGATTTTATACTAGAGCTAAACTATGTATTATACATGTGATATAAATTATTTTACTGTTGACTCAATTCTCAAAATCCTCAAAAATAATTGCATTATGACCTAATTATTTATATGTTTTAATAGTGACTCAATTAATTGTATCAAATAATTGCATCAATTGTGTCAAGGATCTATGAATTTCAGCAACATGTATACTATACATGTTACAGAACACTCGTTAACAAGTTATTTTTAGATTTGTATATAATTGTAATCATAATTAATAACAAAACATAATTAATAATAAATTTTAATAACAGAAAACTATAATTAATAAAAAATTATAATAATAAAAAATTATAGTTAATAAGAAATTACAATAATAAGAATTTATATTTATTTATATTTATTTAAAAAAGTTTTATATGTAACAAAAATTTAAAAAACTATAATTAGAAAAAAATTTTTTACAATATTGTAGTTATATAATATTTTTATTTTATATATAGCAGTAATTAAAAAAAATAACATTTATTTTATTATTTTTTAAAAAATTATATTATAATAATAATATTAAATAATATTTAATAAATAATCAACAATTTCACACTGAACAATATCACATGCAATAAAGAGAAAACTAAAATAATCAACAATATTGAAGTAAAGCATGGCACTCAGAACACCATCAGATTCGACAACTATTATGTCCAAATTCTCAAACCATATGAAAGTGTTAAGTATTTTGAAACATTAATCTCTCCCAGAAATTTTAACAAAGTTAATAGAAAAGTATTCTTGCAGATATCATCGCAAATAATTGAGGAGCTCACTAAACACAATTGAAAAGGAGAAATCAAGTAACAAATCAACAATTGGGTCATCATAATGAAGTTCGAGTATTTTCTACTTTCCTCATTCCTCAACAAAACGATTTTTAACTTACTCCAAATCAAAATCAACAAACTGGTAAAGTCGGCATATAAAATTTCATCAAAATGCTCCAACACAATCCTAGTCAGCTACAGTGGCCTCAACTTGATAGTATTAGAAGAGAGGCAAAAGATCACCCTAATAGGAAACCTCATCTCTAAACTTTCTATCCCCTCTATTAGAAAATATATAACACAAGACATCCAGTTCATCCAAATAAAAGAAGCTATTTGGTTTTGTCATATTTGCGACCCAGAGAAATTCAATCAGGAAAACTGAATTCTTTATATAGCAAAATTAGTCAAAAATCTCAAAATCCAAATTTGTCCAACAGAATGTCCATTTCATCTTGACAATGTGGAAAATTCAATTGGGTTTCTATTCATCAACATGCAATCACAACTCAGAAAGACAGCAATTAGTACAATTAATGCCCTCAACATAAAGTTTATTAACTAACTGCTAAAATACAATAACATTATCAAACTTTCCTGATCACAGCTCGCTACACACACAGGAATAATTCACTTGGGTCCAGAGCCCAATTAATTCAAAGCATTTGCAAACACTAAGAACCTGTTTGGAACTCACAGTCCAATACCAAATCCTAAAACAACATTCTGATTTCTACATAACATCAATGTAATTGTTAAGACTTACAAAAGATATATCCTTATAGATAAAAAAACACCACTCAAAGGAAAGCATTTCACTATAAATCTCGACAATAATCTCACTAGATGTTCGGGCTGCCCAATCGGTATACTCTCTCATGATTTCTGTTGGATACCATTCATAAGTACGGCTGCTTCTACTCTATGGGTCTCTTTCAGTCCTCTCAATAGATTCAAATACCATCTGCTCAACATAATAGATAAAATTGTCAACTCCCCACCAAATAATAAACACATTCTTTAAGAAGTCAATATCTCTGCTAGTCATTCTTCTCAATCATT